CAAGCAAGGTCTGGTTCTTCATTCTAGCCTGTGAAATAGTTGGTGGCCTCTGGTTGTAGAAAGCCAGGAGCCCTGTGCTACAGGGTTGTAAGCTTCTGCCTACCATGGTTAACACGCTGAAAATTTCATCGGCTGTCTTCAATAAAGACCATGTGTGTGAGGGAAGACATCAGCAGTTGTGGTTGGGTGTCTCATCCCCAGCCCATTAGTTACAGCTGGCAGAAAGCGAAGCCACCAGCATGTAATAAAACGGAGTGCCACCGAAATCCTTGTATTCACTTCCATAGCCAAGGAAGGAGTCTTTCAGGCTGTTTAGACACCCACCCATTACATGCTATTTCGATTCCCTCTCTTTCTGTCTCATAATATTTAATCATTTACAGCTCTGTTAATAAAACTTCATGTGACCATTTACTGAGTTAAATAATTGCATGACCAAGAGAAGAAGTCTACTTTATAAGGGGATAGACATTTGATCTGGCATACTTTGTTCTGAATGCTGTACCTCTTAAAAGAAAATTTATTGCAAATCTGTAAAGTGATATGATCTTTGATCTAGAAGTGACCTTGAGTACATTCTTCCCTGGTGTTAATGAGCATGAAAGCACCTGAGGATCTAGCTAAAATTCATATTCGGATTCAGTAGGAGGGGCCTGAAATTCTTTTTTTTTAATCTGTCCAGGATTGAAGCGCTGCCTGTACTTGTACTTCTCTCTGAACTCAGCTTTGTGGCTAGAAGACCTGATGGCATTCAGGACAGTGGGCATTCATTAAGCTACTGCAGCCAGCACTCTGGAGGGCACACATACATGACAGGCTTGGAAAAATAAAGCACTTGTCCTTGAAGATAAAGCAACATTCAATTTTTTTATACCTTTTTTTTTTTTTTTGGTCTTTTTGAGACAGGGTCTCTCTGTAGCCTTAGCTGTCTGGAACTCGCTATCTAGACCAAGCTGGCCTTGAACTCACAGAGATCTGCATGCCTCTGCCTCCCAAGTGCTGGGATTAAAGGCATGCTCCACCATAGCGGGCTTATTTATACCTTTTAAAAAAACATTTAAAATTATTTGCATCAAAATAACTGTTGACACTTTCAAAGCAGTTACTTAGGTCAAGTTTTAGCAGAAGTGTTTGTGAATTTCATTGGCTTCCATTCACTCAAATAAGAAGCTATAAGAATGTTTTGAGCACTATTATGGTATTTATTTTTAGGTTTCTAAAAACAACTTTCCATTAAAACAGATATGTATATCCAGTACAAACTGTTATGATTATATCTAAATGTTATAACTCTTAAAAATATAGAATATTCTTAAATGTGCTCATACCTAGTTTATATATATTTCTACTTATTAGGAAAAACAATGAGTACACATGAATTTCCTTGAGATCTGCTATCCCACATTGACTTTATAATATAAATTTATGGTTGTTTTTATTTAATGGAGTAACGTGCTGGGGTGCATAATGCAAGATTAACGTCATTATAAAAGCACCGTTGTAATTAGCATTCAAAAATCATTCATCAAAGAGGTTTAACTTCATAATTATGTTTTCTAAGAATATTATTAAAATATTAACATTTTATTCATCATTTGATGGCAGGAAGATAACTCCCAAAGACAGAAGAACATCAGGCTGTAATTTAGGTCCTCAGTAGTACAGCCTATGCATGTGGCTTAGTTGTACTTCCCCTACCAATTTCCATGTCCATCTCTTAAGAGTCATAACCTGAGAAAAGACTAGGAAATCTAGTAAAGGCAGAGCCTGTCAGGACCCCCTTGGCCCCTGGCTGTATATTGCTCACTCAGGAGATTGTAGTTGGGTATTTTTTAAAAATATTTTTATTTATTCATTATTTTTATTTTATGTGTATGTGTGTATTGCCTGCATGTAGGTAAGTGCACCCGTGTCGTGCAATGCCCATGAAGGACAGAAGTAGGCTGTCAGATGCCCTGAAACAGGAGTTACAGTCAGTTGTTAGCTGCCATGTGGGTACTGGTATTCGAGCCCAGGTCTTCTGCAAGAACAACCAGTGTTATTAACCACTGAGCCATCTCTCCAGCCTTTCTAGTTGGTGTTTTTTAAATGATGAGGCAAAAGGGAGGGAAAAGAAGAGGGGAAAAAATTATGATTTTATTTTTATGTAATGTGTACAGTAACAGATGAAGCAAATACATTTATTACCTCATTTGTAGAAAAACTGGGGGTCCCAAAATTCACCCAGTTTGTTCAGATGTGTGCTTCTCTGGCACAAGAACCTAGGCCATCTGAATCGATAACCTCTGAGTGTTTTTAACAACCTTTTGCATTGCAATTAGAGGTATACACACTGTAGATAAAGATGCATTGGCACCCAGTGATTGAGGAACTAAGGAGTGCCCCACAGAACCATCTGGTTTCTCTCAGCCTTGTTACTGGGCCGCTTCTATTTCTGGTTAGTAAGGAATGGTCTCCAACAGTGGTTCTCCCTCCCCGTTTCCTCTCTTCCCACTCAGGGTAGCAGGAAGTCAGAACATTTATCTACTTAGCATCTCTAGTAGTTCAGGCTGTGAATACATTTCACCATCCATTTAGTAGCTGTTTGTTGATAGTTGTGCCAAGTACTGGGAGGAATCATAATTCAGCAATGTGCTCAGGCACTGAGGAGCTTGAGAGAATCATGGTGGTGTGATAGCAGAATCCTTTTAGGAAGATGAAGTAGGTGGCGTTATTTTTGGTTTCCGTTCACTGCACATGTAATTTAGAGCTCAGTTTATTTGGATCGGTGTTTAAAATAGAAACTGACCATCTGTATTTTTCTTGATAAGTATGGAGTCAAACTGGCCAAAGGGTTGATGAAGGTCAGGCATAGCTTATATTTACAATATTATTTTTGGAAAAGAAAAAGGGATGTGGAAAATTTTGAAAATAAGGGCTAGCAGCTTAGAACTGAGAATTTTGGTGTGTAGCTAGACATTCTGTTGCCCTTGACATCCAAATTATAAAAATTACAAAGAAGCATATGCTGAACTAGGAAAAGTGACCTTGACATTTGTCCAATATCCCCCTTGTGAATGCATTCTGCCACATGGATTTTTGACTTTTCTCATAGCTTTCTAGCAGCATGCAAAGAACGGGGCAGAGATGTGTTAGGTGTCTTCACCAAGGTCACAACGGTTGAGTAAGAACTCAAACCCAGATCTCTTCAAATCCAAATCTGATCATTTTCCACCTCTGTTTGTTCTCAGCGATTTCACCCTCTCTCCAGCATTGATTTGGCTCAAAAATAATTATTTTTACAGTAAACAGCGGGGTCATATAATTTCAGCTGAGAAATGCATGCATCATAAAAATCATAAAAATAATTGGGAATTATCTTTGGCTTTTGCACCCAGTGAAGAACAGTTAGTTAATGACAGCATATAAAATGAAAGCACATTCATAGCATATAAATATTACCTGATTTTTGAAATATCATTTATGTGACTGCCAAAATTTTGCTCGTCAATAGCCAGAATGTTCTAAGGACAGGGCGAGAACAGAGCACCAGTGGTCTATATTTATAGATAGCAAGCAAAATGTTTTTTCCATTACATACACTTTCACGAGGTGATATTTGAAAATTTTGGGCTAGAAACTGTTATTGCAAGGTAGTGCTACATAACTCAAAAACTCAATATTTTTTAAAAAAAGAACTCTGATCAACTTTTCGTGCAGGGTATTGTTGTAGTTTGCTTGTGGATACCTGAAAATGTCGCAGGAATTACTTAAGTACTTCGTAATGAACTTGATTTTTTTAAAATTTTCCTAAACCATAATTTATGTATTTTGATGTTGTTTACTTTGATATATTTATAGTAAATATTCACTACTACAAAATGTAAAACTAACTTAAAAATTAAGTACATTGCCTTGAGAAATACTTCAGCTTAGGTTTGGGAAAAGATGTTAGCGGTTACATTTAATATTTTTCAGGGCTTTAACTCTGAAAGTATTAGTAAAAGCTTGTAGTTTAATGTTTTTACACAAAAAGCCTGGACTATTGCTAAGATGTGGTAAGAGTGGGTGGACTTAGATTTTTTTCACTTAACTGTATATCTTTAACAGTGTATTTTTGTTTGTTTGCTTGTTTTGGCTTCATTTTGTAGTACTAGGAGTTGAACTCAGGTCTTCAAGCATGCCAGACAAGCACTGTACAGACTGAGCTATATTAGCAGTTTTTTGTTTGGTGTTTTGGTTTTTTTTTTTTTTTTAAAGATCTGAGGTTGAACGGGCCCAATCCCAACACTTGGGAGGCAGAGGCAGGTGGATCTCTATGAGTTCAAGGCCAGCTGGGGCTACAGGGAGACCCTGTCTCAAAAAGACCAAAAGAAAAAAAAAAAAATCTGAGGTTGATAACCTCACCAGAAGTTTTAATCACCTGTTAAAATCCTGCCATCTGTAGGCCCATTCAAAGGATAGGTGTGTCAGGTGATTCTTTTCTCACATTAGCTAGTGCCAAAGGCATTATTTCAAAATACTTCTGGCTAAAGAAAACTAGGAAACATTTATCATAAATAAATAATGAAACAAAAAAATTTAATTCTATCTGAAATTATATCTATTTAAATTTCTTTAAGATTCAGCCTTACCTAGCACAGGCTGACCTGGAATTCACTATGTAACCAAAAATTACCTTGAACTCCTAATGGGATTTATAGGTGTGTGCCACCACACCTTGATAAAGTTGAAACTTTTTTTCAAAAAGTAGTCTGACTAGGTTCTTTTTTATATTACCCATGTTTTACCATTAACGAATAAATAAATTTCCTAGCTAAGTGTCCTATTGAAACTACATAGCACAAAGCAGCTGTTTGAAGATGTGTTCATCTTCCTATTTCTATTTGTAACAATTGCTAAGTTGCTTCTATCAAATGACTCTAGACTTGGAATCATTTGCATGAGTGAATGAGGATTTTCATCTTCCATGAAGGAACCCTTGAACCAGCCTCTAACACTCACCCTTTCTCCTGTTGCAGTACCCAGCTGCTCTGATGAACCTTGGAGCCATTTTGCATCTCAATGGCCGACTCCAGAAGGCTGAGGCCAACTACCTGAGAGCTCTACAGCTGAAACCAGATGATGTCATCACACAGTCCAATCTTCGAAAGCTGTGGAACATCATGGAAAAGCAAGGCTTAAAGACCTCCAAGACCTGACACATCAGGACCAACCTCCTCCTCCTCCTCTTGTAAAGCTGGCTTCATTAACAGATATCTTCCCAACAGTGCTATGATAAAAGCTTTTTGGGAATCTCAAGCCCAGGGCAGAGGTCATCAAGGTCACTGCCACTGGTCCAAGAAGAATCCACTTTGCTGTTGACACAGTCCTTAACACCAAAAAGGGGAACATTGGAAACCTGGAGGGTGTAATTGTTACCCATAGACTGTAAACCAGAGCACTTAACAGGATCTTTTGGCATTCTTAAGAGAGAGGGGGCATCTCAGTTGCAAAATGTGTTCATTTTTGAAAGTTAAGTTCAAAGTTATATTGTTCATTAAACACTGTGAGAAGTCAGAAAGTCATCCAGCCACAGAGTAATTAAAGGTTAAGTGTAAACAGGGAGTGATTAATGCAGTATGAACCAGTGAGCTACCAGTTGTCCTGCCTGTCTTCCTTCTTTGGGGACAGCCTGTTTATCAGTTTCTGAAGCTTAGAAAACTTTTATTTTAACATTGTGTCCAGATCTTTCAGAATCTGCACTTGTTTCTTGACTTGAGCGTTTTGTGGTTGGATGTCCCAGGCCTATCACTTTTGAACACCATTTGCTCTCATATTACAAAAAAGACATTGAAAGTAGAGCTAACCACACTTCACACTGGTGGTGTAAAGAGAGGCTGGGAGGCCTTGGGTGTGTGTCACACAGGTATTTTTATTTTGATGTGGTCTGTGTTTTCCTCAAACCGTGTAGAACTCATTGTATTAATTCTTTTGAAATTGTGTTTTTTGAAGGCTATTCCTGGTTAATGTACAAGCTTACATACAGCTGAAACAAAGGGAGGTTTATATGAGCTCCTGTTCTGGTATTTAACTGATAGTGATTGTACAAAAGGGAAAAAAATCCCTTTGTACTTCCTGGTCAAAGGTGGTTAAAACTAGTGTGTGCTGAGGAGTATAAATGGTCTGTTCTTAATGACTGCGTTTCAGTGAGAGTTGCTGTGAAATGCTAATCAGCTTCTAACAGATACCTGAATAGCAGTGCAGATAAATCTTCAAAGGCTTATTTTTATTGCATTCTGCTCTTCCTGAAAGATGTCAAAAATAACTTATTTAAGCTGCAGTAGAGTCCAGCATTAGCGTGGAAATGTCTAGGTCTTCTGCTAAATGCATTTCTCAGTTCAAAACTATCACTAGCAAAAGGGGTATTTTATTTCTTTACCTGTTATTAGGCATTTCAATGACCATATTTGAGTAAATATCTATAAATGAAATAGAGAAGAATGCATCTTGAATAACTCTTGATCTGTACTCCAACTTGGCTACTAAAACTTAATTTTCTAAAACAGCAATCTATTATCAGCTTCTTTATAGAGAAATTAGCTATTCTATACCCTTCATATTTATTTATTTATTATCTTACCATAGCAGACTAACAAATAAATTGATTTTCTTAAGCCAGATATTTGCAACTAAAGATTAACTTTTTCTCCTTCCCTCTCACAACCCATGTAAATATATGATTGATGTTTCCATTAAAGGGAAGCTGGATGTGCAAAAAAAATCATACTATGTTTTCTCTTTGTATTAATCATTGTATTATGTATCTGAATACAGTGGGATAAAGAATTTAAAGTAGTGTTCCTATGACATTAGTCTCTGTGAGAAGGGCAGATGTAGTGAGAGTTTTTGATGGCATTAATGAGAGGGCCCTCCTATCATGAGTATATTATTTTGTAAACATTTCACTCAAGGGCCAAAGTTAAATTGTAATGAAATCACTGTGTTTTCAGAATAATATTTAACATTAACAACAAAAAACCCAATGGTCAAACCAAAAATAGTGGGTTGTAGCATACATTTCATCTTCTAATGTATTGGCAATTGCAAAAAAAAAAAAAGGAATCTAATATAAGACTATAAAGTTCAATGTCTAACATTTTTATTTATTTGAGTACTTATTGTTATGACTTTCTAGTCTTTACATTTTATGTCTTTATTGTTATTGTTCTTTTCCAGCACTTGGTTCCTTTAGCTTCACCGAATACACGCAGAGGCACTTCATGTGACTCAGCTCCCAAGTAGCATTGATAACTGGGCCTGTGCCATAAATTGCATGAATTTTTAATAACTAAATGTCCCTGACACTTTCCATAACAGGGCTGGACTTAGTAACTGACCAACTCGGGGGGGGAGGGTGGGGCTGTTGGAACATGATCAGAATGTCAATGCTCAGGGATTTATGGAGGATCATTGCAGACAGTGCTAAAATACAGAGCACAAGAAAAGTTTACTAAATTAAAATTTTATTTTTTGAAAAACTGTTATTTGTATAAATTATCAAGATTTGTAGGCTTTCCTTTTGTAGAAATAATTGTTTTATGTGCCAGAGAATTTCAATTTTGTTTTGAACAATAAAGAATTGATAACAAATACATCGTGTAAGCCTTCTTTAGAACTCTTCTACACCAATGGCATTTAAACTCTGGAATTGATGTTTTGTTTTGTTTGTTTGAGACAGGGCCTCAGCAAGTTGTCCAAGTTGTTCTAGAACTTGCAGCAATCCCCTCTCTTCAACCTCCCAAAGTGATTGATGATAGGATTATTGGCTTGAGCCTCCATGCTTATCTTTTAAATGTTTACTTTAATTAGTATTTTTTATTTGTGTGTGTGTGCGTGTGTGTGTGTGTGTGTGTGTGTGTGTGTGTGTGTGTGAGTGAGTGCAAGAGCCACAGAGGTATGGAGCCGAAGTGACAGTCAGTTGTGAGGAGCCCAGCATAGGTGCTGGGAACTGAAACTTGATCCTCTCTGACAGCAACATGTGCTCTTAACCACTGAGCCAGCTCACCAGCCCACACCATGCTAATCTCAAATTTAGGGATTTTAAGATAATAGGAGAAAGGTTAAGAAGAGTAGAAGTTGACATCAAAGATATCAAGTTTAGTGTATAATCAAAAATAATTTCCTACAGTCTAATAACAATAAAGATTATCAGTATCACCAAGTTTTCCATGTTCAAAAACAATGGCAACGTTTTGTTTTCTTTGGTTACAGAACTATGGAGAGAGATTCTAGGAACCATTCCGAACTGAATGTGGTCTCCAGTTCACTGCTTCAGTAAGTCATTGGGTAAAAATGTCTCTATCTAAAAGATCCTGATTCTCCAGTTGTGGACAAAAGCACCGCCCTAGTCTGCTAAGAAATGTAGGTGCAGCACTTTTAGGGGTCAGTGGTAAGGAAATCTGAGGTTCCAGACCAGGTGCAAACATAGAGAATTCCAATCTTGTTGAAATTGTTATTCTATATCTGACAGCATGGTTATATGTCGCCTATGTGCTTTAGAATAGGCTAAAACTTGACACTGAAGAGTGTGCTTTACTGTGTGCTAAGCATTCAGTGGACGCATGAGATGTTCAATTTTACAGATCAGGAAACTTGCTGAGAGGTATGAGTCAGAGATCCCAGCGTCACTAAGCTCAGAATCAGAAAGCCTGTCCGTAAGCTGTCCAGTGCTCTGTTGTCTGCATAATTTCTGCACCCAGATGCATGCCAGTCAGGTTTCCCAACTCTCAGAGTTTTGCTAGCTATTTCATCATCTTTCATAAGCCACATTCTCTACCTTTCTCATTGCAGAGGACCATAAAGATGAAAAGATGTAATTAAAGAAAATATCTTTGAAACAGATTGTGAAAGGTCAGTGATCACGTAACTAAGCCCACTTTTCACCCAAGGAATATAAAAGTCCCAGATTAACATATTAAACTGTTCCAAAACTAGTTAGTAGCAATAACCAGAAGCTATAAGCTTATGCTATTAAGAGATCTTGACATATAATGTAATTGCACAGTTGATTATGCATCAAAGTATCAGTTTAATTGTACTGTAACACTAATGAAGACACAAACCACACCTTGCTTTTCTGGCATTATTTCTCCAGCATAGCACATCGTTGCTGAGTAGAAGACTATAAAATATACAAGAAAATGAAAATTCCATATATTTACTTATGAGCTACTTGATATTTTTAAAAGACCACTTTGTAAAGAGTTTTCATGCAGGGATTAAATGGCCCTCCATTTGATATTTGATATTTTCATCAGAGTGATGACAGTTTTCACATAGTATATGTTTCCTGTAAAAAGACAGGAAATACATTAAGTCTTGATGATTCTTTCTAACACAAAGGGGGAATTGGTTTCTATGGAATACTAAAGTATGATGTCAGTATCAGTTCATTTGTGTACCTTTGAAATGTGGTTTTTCACTTATTTTAAATATTATATTCAGTATATATAATATACAGAATTTGCTTCTTACCGTTTAAAAATTTAATGAAAGAATATTTCTAGAAAATTTGGCCTATGCATACATGGAATATGCTCCTTTAAGAAGAGAGCAAACTAAATGGCAATGCAGTTGTATTAACATGCTTATTTTTGCCGGCAAAAGGGATACATATGTTCTGGAACGTTATCTTGCTGTGTCATTTTGGGTGGTCTTCCTGCAGGGTGCAGTCAGAGAGGCCTCTAAGTCCACTTTCATTCCATCTGCCACTTCACCACATACTGGCCTTTGGTTCTTGTTGTTCTACAGAGATTTGAGATATATTTTCCCCACTGGACCACTGCTGAGATTTAAATTCTTGTGAACTTCCTGAAATTCCTATGAAGCTTTCTTCTTTGTTTCTGGGGCCATTTCTCCAACTTCCTACAGCTGATTTCTGATGTTACTGTGCTATTTAATTTTCTGCTTTCAAATAAGGAAGAACTTTTATGTGGCAGGAAAATCTTTAATCAAGTGAGAAAGTTACAGATATTCAAGATAATGTGATGTGTTCGCTAACACCTCTCCTGATCTAAAAAGTTAAGATAATATTTTAAATGGAGTCTAAGAAAAAAGTTCATGGGGATTGCTGAGATTGGGGAAAGTCAACGTTAGAAAAGTGAAAATGCATTAGTCATACTTAACTTTCTGACTCAGAGCTCAGAGACTGCACTGAAATAGTTTGGATGCCCAATATTCTGCCAAGTTTGCATCGCTACTGATGGGGAGAGAATGAGTGAATTGTACAGCTGCAGGTGAGGCTGAAAAAAAGCTACACCAGTTCAAGTCTCACAGAGCCAGCTATTCACTGATTATATCGTATTAGATGAGATTAGATCCACTCTACTTCCTTTGTACTTGACAGGCATATCACTTACTCAAGACAAAGCTGTCAGCCCCTCTCCAAATACATGGAGAAAGCAGAGTTCTGCATTTCAAGTAATAGTTCAGGACTTTGGTAATAATTGCCATTGTATCCCATTTCTATCCTAGAAGACTCAAAATGAAATAACTCTTCAGAGACCTTTCTCTTGGCAATATTGAGCAGTTAGAGATTGCAGTGGAAGTGTTCAAAAGTGGATTGGGAGAGAAATCAAGCAATGCAGTTCCAAAAACTACTCAAAATATCAAAAAAGAATTAAAATATCTTATTTTTATCAAGAGGACCTACCCCTCTGTAATGTACAATAGTGTACCAGAAAACCAGAACTGAAAAAAGAAGCAAGAGATGGTTGATGTGTGTTGGAGGATGGGGATGTCAATAGTGACTGCTGGAGATTTTAACCTGGGTCCTCTTTCTAGTCTCTAGTAATGGCCACTCTGACTCTAATCATAATTAGCACTTTAATTCTCTAAGTATCACCTTAGTCAATTCCTCCTCCTCCTCCTCTTCCTCCTCCTCCTCTTCTTAGCCCACTTCTCATTCTGGGTAAAAAACAAAACAAAACAAAAAAAAAAACACTATTCAGAAAGAGGGGAGATAGGACAAATGTAGATTTCTATCTCTTCTTCAGTATAAGAAAAATTTCCAAGTTGACCTTCAAATGTCTTGGTTTTAAGTGTACTTCGTCTTGCGGATATTAGCCAAATGACCAAGCAGTACAGATTCCCTAATGCAGGAAGCAGTATGCACAGACATGAAATTGTGGTGACCACTGGAATATCCCAATATCACCTACCCTCCCTTTTTTTGGCTTTAGCATCTTAGGTGGCAGTTTACCTCACCACACTCCAGCTTCATTTATTGTGCTCTTTGGAATTTGAGGCAGTGGGCCCCTTCCGTAGATGTAAATCCAAGTGAGCCGAGTTTTAGTTTTCTCCTTTCACTGTCAAGGATATTTTTGTTCCTGTATTAGTTTTTTGCAGGGTGATTTATAGTTTTTCAAAGGCTCCATGTATTTTATATTTACTAAAGCAGTCTGAGAAAGTAGGCAGAACCATAATTATTTTCACACTCTAGGTGAGGTTTCAGAAGGTCATAATGACTGCTTACTTGAACAAGACTGCATCCCATGAGGATCAGCTCTTCTGTCTCTGACTATGATTCTGCTTCAGTACAGATCCAGGACTGAGGTTGATGTGTGTGGACACTTGAAGTACCCTGGAAGAGTCTTTTCTTAATTGAGCTTTTAAAATTTCATACAAATTTCCCATTCTAAACCAGACCCTCTCCCCCACCCATACCTTCCCCCATCCTCCCACTGAATCCTATGCACTCTGCCATACATGCTAAGTCCTATTCATTCAGGTGTTTGTACCCAAATGTCCTTCAGTGTAAATGCATCCACTGGAGTCTGTCTAGTCAGCCCATCCAGTAGTCCTGTATAAGTCATACTCTCCCTCACCCAGCAGCAATCAGTCTCAAATAGTTCTCAATCTAGTGCTGGCCCACCACCTATTTCTCACCTCCCCTTTGGGCCCTTTTTTAATTGAGGTGACATGTGTCCTGTATTTGATGCCATCACTGCCACAGGCTCACACAAGCAAGCCTCCAGTGGCCTGAAAGCCTAGACCTCCTGGAAGAGTCTTGATTCTTTTTGTTTTTTAATTACCTTACCTTTTTAAGTTCAGATGTGATTGAAAGAAT